CCCCAAAACCCCAAGCCCCAAAACCCCAAAACCCCAAAACCCCTAAATTCCTTATACGTATTGAAACACCCGAGGCCTAAATTCCCTTGCCTCTGATCTCAATGTGGTAGTTGCCTAATGCACTAATCTTATAGTAATGTTTTGGATTCTACTGAAATTAGTTCTGAACTACCTTATTCCTACGCTAGGATCAGAGTAGCTAGACCTTTAGGTAGGAAAACACTGACATTTCTTGAAATTTTAGTAGTTTGATGTTGCCATTTAAAACTCAAGGTTGATGTATATAAACTCTTATTATTTACTTCCTTCTAACATCTTAAACCTCCATTCTCTTACTCTTCAGTCTTCTGTCTTTTATTTCCTGCTCCAGCTTCATCTTCTCTAGCTCTCTTCTTTCCTGGTTTGGCTTCTTCTTCAGCTTCTTTCTCATCTTCCTCGCCTTCAGCCTCTTCTTCATCTCCTTCTCCATGAGGACCAATTTGGACAATAACATCTCCTTCTCCTTCACCTTCAATGAATGTAATGCCTTGTCTCTCAAGAGCTTGCTTCTCTTCCTCAGTTAGCTTAGTTGGGTCTAAGAAGTCCATCAGAGGTAAATCTCCTTCTCCTTCTCCATCAAATCCATCAATTTCAAGTTCCGATAAACACTCTTCTCCCTCTTTATTCAGGTTGTCGAGGACCTTGAGGTCCTTGAACATTTCCCAGATTTTCTCCTTATAACCTTCTGTCTCTGAAAGTGGAGTCTCAATGAGGTCAAGGATCTCTAGCTTTGGAAGAGTTTTCTACAGGATAAATTAGAATGCTTACCAGATCTTCAATGTCTTCCAGAGATTTGATCTTGTTTCCTCAGAGCTTCAAGTTCTTCAGGTTTGGATACTTGGAAAGAGCTTTTAAATCTCCGGAGATATTGTTATCAGATAGTTCCAACTACACAGGTTATTAAAGGCTTACTCTTTGTAAGTCTTCGCAATCAGGGAGATTTTTCAAACTCTTGAGTTTGCAAGAAATAATAATGAGATTAATCATCTTTGGGAAGTTCTCTAAATACTTTTTGTCTTCTTCAGTGAACTCGATAATATCCTCAGCTTCAATGACGAGAGAAGTGAACTATATGGCAATAAGCTTCTGAAAGCAATAAGTAGTGTTAAAAGCATGAGAAATTAAAAAGTTTGTCAAAGTGTGATCAAAGTCCTAATTTTAAGGTTAAAATATGTCGACACAGGTTAGGAGTGGTCTTACATCGTCCTTGTATTCGTCAAGGTTGGAGCCATACTCCTCTTCGATGATTTCTTTGACAGTCTTTCCCATGTTTAGCAATAAAAATAATTATGGAGTAGTTAAAAACTTCAAAATTGAGTGTTTTTTTCGGGGTTTTGGGGTTTTGGGGTTTTGGGGTTTTGGGGTTTTGGGG